GGGTTGCCATGGGCTACTGTGTGTAGCCAGCAGCCAGCGTGAGCGGCCAGCAGCCACAGTGAGCGGCCGTCCAGAAGCCGGCGACTGATCTGCCTTGCCTAGGAAGAGTGCAATGATGGTGCCTACTTGGGCCAGTGAAGCAATGTCCTCCAAAAAAACTAGACTGAAGAACAAAATGACAGCAACTTGTCTGTTCCCCTTCCTCCAATTCCCCCAATAAAAATCTTTAAAAAAAAAGAAAGAAAGCATAAACAAGGTTTGTGACAGATCTCAGGTAAAGTAATGTGAGTGCCACTCAGCCCTGGGTGAAGATCTGCCTATTAAATTGTATGAGCCATAAATTCCCTCTTTGTCCACTTCCTTTCTCCCTTCCCCTTCTTTTTCTCCTTTTCTTCCTTCCCTAAATTGGTTGCAGTTGTAACCAAAGAGCCTTGATTAATTCAAAAAGTGATGATAAGAGAAGTCACTTAGAGGGAAAATGGGTCGGGAGGCATATGGGACACTGAGACATGTTCTCCTTTGCTGGCCACACTTACCGAGCCCTGAGGAGGTGCTAGCTGCCAGGGCTAAAGAAGCCCCTTCCAAGTCCTAAAACAAGCAGGGGAGACAGACGTGCTCCACATATGTGAGCCCCTGGGAAGGGCATTGCTATAGACTGAATGTTTGTGTCCCCCCCCCCACATACATGCTTATGTTGAAACCTAATCCTCAGTGTGATATAGTATTTGAAGGCAGGGCTTTGGGAGATAATTAGGTCACGAGGGTGGAGACCTCATGAATGGGATTAGTTCTCTTATAAAAGAGATACCAGGGAGCTCCCTGGCCCCTTTCACCAGGTAAAATTTTACAAAGAAGACAGCCATTTAGAAAATAGGAAGTGGAGTCCTCCCTAGACACTGAATCTGCCAGTGCCTTGATCTTAGACTTTCAGGCTCCAGAACTGTGATAGCTACATTTCTGTTGTTTATAAGGCACCCAGTCTATCATATTTTTGTTATTGCAGCCTGAACAGTCCAAGACAGATGTGCTGCCATTGGGAACCCAGTGCTCTGGGAGTGGCCATGGTCTGTAGATGCTGAGCCACTGGCCAATCTGCCCTCTCAGTCCCTGTTCTTGGCACGAATCATTTGGTTCTAACGCCCAGGCTGCCAAAGCCCAGCCTACCTTGGTGATCGAAGGATTTCCACAAGATGAGAAAAGAGGGAGAGCGCCAGGTTGTCTGCAGCAGTCATCCAGAGCTGGAAGACAACAAACACACAGTGAAACCAAGGCATGTGTGAAAATGAGTTTCCGGGCACTGTGAGCGTATAGGATGCTAGATGTGGCCTCTTTGATTAGAGCCACTACCACAATTTACCACCTATGGAATCAGACCAACCAAATCTCTTGACAGCTAGAATGTAAAGAGCTCCATCCCTGGAATGGGAATGGCGGGGAAGCTTAAACAGCACTCCTCTCTTCCCCATCTCTCCTGCTGCCTGGCACTTCACTGTAGGTCTGGATTCCAACCAAGGACACCTGCACTAATCAGTATCTGCCCAGCCCTGAGCCCTGCAGCCATGGTGTGTACACATGACAAACACATCACATCCTGCAAGGCAAATGCCAGTGTTCCCACTTTAGAGATGAGAAAATAGAGGCTGAAACAGACCAGTTGAGTGATGGGTTCCATTCACCACCAGCAAGTGGTAAAACTGAAATTTGAATCTGGGTCTCACCTGTCTAGCTTTATGCTATAGCAATGACACACCCAATTTGTGGATGCAACTAAATTTTGGAAAACATAGATAATTGAATTTTTTTGCTTGTTATCCTGTCATATAACCCCGGTACTAAGGAGTGTGTTGACATGTCTGGATTAGATTTATTTGAATATCCATTTATTGAAAATGGATAATGTGTCAAATTGTGCCCTGTTCCCTCCTCTGAGAGCACCTCACTCTCAGAATGAGCTGGTCTGTCCCATCTTCAAATAACCAAAAGCCTAGCATTTGAATACCTCAGCTTCCTGTCTCTCCCTGCTTCTCAACTTCCCCTCCCTTTCCACTGTCTGTCCCAGCTATCATGGATCCCACCCCTTTGCCTATAACCCATTTTCTTGTCTCCAAACCCTCCCTCTACTTTAAGGACTTGTCCCATCAATAGTTGATTCTCCCACTGTTTTTTTGTTTGATTGTTTGTTTGTTTTCAATTCTCAAAACAACTGCTTTATTTTTAAAAAACATTTTTTAAATTACAGTTGACATACAATATTATATTAGCTTCAGGTGTACAACATAGTGATTAGACATTTATATAACTTATGAAGTGATTCTCTGACTAGTCTAGTACCCACCTGGCACAAAACATAGTTATTACCATATTATTGACTATATTTCCTGTGTTTTAATTTACATCCCCATGACTGTTTTTATAACTGGCAACTTGTACTTTTTAATCCCTTCACCTTTTTCACCCATCCTCCCGCCCCCTCCCATCTGGTGACCATCAATTTGTTCTCTGTATCTATTAGCTTGTTTCTGTTTTGTTTGTTCATTTACTCTGCTTTTTGGATTCCACATGGAAATGTGATCACCTCTTTTCCACTCCTTCCTCCTCCTCAGCCTACAATCAGACTCAAGCCTCCGGTATTAAGTCCTGAAACTCCCTCCCCTCTACTTTCTTCTTTTCTTCTTCAAAAGCCCTGAAGAAGCACTGACTGTCTTTGCTTTCATTCTCCTCTCCACTTTTCACCTCACTTCTTATCGCATTATTTACTTTTCACAAGGCCTATCAGTGATCTCTAAATACAATATGTGTATATATACATACATCACTGCCTTTATTTTACGTGATGTAGGCAGATATTTGGGAAACTTTTCTTCTTTTTGAAATTCTCTCCTCCTAATCTTTAATTTTTGTTTTATTTTACTTCATTTTGTTTTTTTAACTTCTGGTTTCTTTGTTGTTTGCTTTCTTAAGCCCAGCTTTAAAAGCACCAGGTCACCGGAGGGAATAGTTTACTCAGGGAGGGTGGGGGTTGGTACCCATGGCCACTCTGGGAGCAGGCAGTGGAAGCATGGTAATTTCTGGGTCAGGCTGGTGGCAGGGAAGCCTTGGAGACAAGCTGCCTGAGCAAGAAGGCCATTTACGCACACCTCCTTTCCCCCTTTCCTCCTGTACACAGGCAGTCCACATGCCAGGCCTTGCTGGCTTCCTCCACAATCCTTTCCACTGTCTTCTGGTCCAGGTCCAGCATGTTCATTCTGGCCTGGTTCAATTAGCTAAAAATTTAGATAGGGTTTTTATAGCTATACTTATGAATAAGATTGGGCTGTACTTTTCATTTCCCATTATGTCCATTTTTTGGTTCTGGTATCAAGATTACCGTATTTCCCCATGTTTAAGATGCACCTTAATTTTGGGGCCTGAAATTTGAAAAAAAATGTATTACATAACTTCTTTTTCATCAGCAATTCTTCTTGCCTCATACTGAACCATCTTTGTGGACACAGGAATTCCAATTGCCCTTTGCTCTTCAATCCATATCTTCAATTCCCTCTCTAAATCTGGACATTTTGCTGACTTGCCTCTCGTGGCCTTCTTCTGCCGTGGCATTTTCAGTAGGGTTTCTTCTTCCCGTAGCCAGTCTCAGATTGTTTTCTCAGTTGGAGGAGGACCAAACTTATGTTCAGCAGCACGATTTCCATTCACTTTTGCAAACTGGATCACTTTTAAGTTGAATTCAGCATTGTATGAAAATCTTTTCTGAGCCATTTCTGGGCAGAACGTGGCAAAACATAACCTACCGTAATATACTGGTAACAAGTGCGAAACAATGAACGCAAAGACAGCAAGCGCGAAAAAGTGGGAAAGGCAAGTAAAAGAATCTACAACCACTGTATAAGACGCACCCAGTTTTTAGACCCCAAATTTTTCGAAAAAGGATGCATCTTATACATGGGGAAATACAGTAGGTCCTAAAATAAGCTGGGAGCGCTCCCTTTTCAGTTTCCTGGAAGAGTTCATAAGGCTGGGGTGGCCTATTTCCTGACTGGTAGAACTTCCCTATGATGCCCAGGCTGGACTTTCTTGTGAATGTTGATTGTTTGTAAGATTTGAAACCCATGATTCCATGTATTTAGATGGTTATGGGACTTTTAATTTTTTTACTTCTTTTCGAGTGAGTTTGGAAACTGTAATTTTCTTAGAGATGATTCAAATGAGCCAAATGTTCACATTTATTGGCACCAATGTGCTGACCCTATTTTCTTGTTCCCGTCTGATGGCTCTTCCCTTTCTCTTCCTAATAGGATTTGGTTGTGCCTCCTGACCTTTTTTCTTGACCAATCTCAACAGGTTTGTCCTAGTAGAACCAGGTTTTGGCCTTGTTGATCCTTTCTACGTTTGTTTCTTTCCTATTTAAATAATTCATAGTCTCATCTTTAGTTTTCCCTGCTTCTTGCTTCGAATTTTTTTGTTGTTGCTGTTGTCATTGTTTGGGGGTTTTGTGTTTTTGTTTTGATTTGGCTTTTTGGCATTCTAACTTCTGGATATGAAGCCTCTCTGTTCATTAATTTAAATGTTCTCTTTCCTAATACACACATTAATGACTATTAATTTTCCTCTATGTCCAGCTTTCAGCAGCCTCTCCACAGTGTTTTGACATATAGTGTTTTCTTTGTCATTCATTCTAACTTCTAATTTGAATTATGATCCTCATTGATCCTCTTCTGCCTTTGCCACAATCCAGGTTTCAAAATCTTCTACCTGGATTTCTACGACAACTTCATGGCCTATCTTCCTGCCTGGGGCTCTTACCACCTGAGTAATGGACCTAAAATAAAGTTCTAATATATCATTCTTTAGTTAACATTCTTGGATGTCAGCAGTTTAGCAAAATTTATCAACAATCTAAAATTTGTTTATAAAGCTTTTATTCTAATCATTCAATTCTAATAATTTATGTTAAGGGTTTTTATTTTAAGTGCAGAAAAGTGCTGTGTATAACAGCATTCATTCCTAACAACAGCATATAGAAATAATTTAAGAATTTAACAATAGCAGAATGGTGCAGAAACTAGGTACAACACAGATTATTATTCTGACATCAGAGCAGTGCTTGTAAAAGTCTGTAATAAAATTCTAAAAATGTTTATGTTCTGTGGGAAAAGGTAGGACTAATAGTATTTATACTAAGATCATGACTATGATAACAAAATATAATAGTATGCATAGAAAGTACAAAAAAAGGATACATTAAAGGTCACAAACAGTTGCCTGAGTGTCAGAAATAAAAGTTTCTACCCGCTCCCCACTTTTCTCTAACTTAAAACATTTTGTAATAAGCATGTATTATTTTTAATTTAAAAAACAGTTTTTAAAAATACTTCCATGGATCCCAGCACGTTTTGGCTAAAATGTGCGTCCTGCAGCTTAGCATCTTCTGCCCACCTTCTCTCCTGCCCGCTCCAGCCTCATTTCCATTTGCAACAGCTCCCCAGCAGGTGCCCTCCAGGCCACTTGCTGACAATCCCAGTAGTTACTCATCTCTACATGTGTGCAAACAGCATACACTCCACCTGGAATGTTCCTTTCTGGATGCACTCTGCCACACTCAGCCCCCGAGCCCCTGATCCATTAAGCTGAACTGACTATTCTCTCACTCCCACTCCCCAGATGCCCTGTGCCTGCCTCACTGACATCCAGCCCATTGTAGTGTCACCTCTGTCATGTCCCCAGCCCAGGCAGCTGAATGGAAGGACTGTCTTCTGGTTATCACATGTCCCCTGGACACCACACATGCCTGATCCCAGTGGGCACTTAGTAAATGATGCTCCGTGGAGCATCTATCCACCCAAAGTTTTGTACAAAACTCCTCACTTAGCCTCAGGAGTGCCCTCAGCATCTCTCAGTCATCCCTTAAAGGAACATTTGTGAACAGCGAAACACCATTCAAAGGAATTGGGGTTTATTTTTTTAAATCCTCATATACATATGGTAGGCTACAGTTTTAAAATCCTATCCCAGATACTATTGGGTTTGACCCACACACCAGTCTCTGAAGGAGAGGAGATGGTCTCGAGAAGACTAGAACTCAGAGAAATCAAGAGACTTGCCCAAGGTCACACAGCTTATTGGTGGTAGGATTTCATTATAAATTGGAAGTGCTAGGCCCTGGGCTCCAAAGCCTTGGAGGCTCTTTTCCCTCTCACAACCACCATAACTATTGAGGAAGCTGACCTGCTGGGTTTAGAGGAAGCTCCAGACTTCCTTTAGCATCACACACTCTTTTATCTCCAGTTTACCTCAAAATTGCAGATGACGTGCTGGAAGACACCAATGTTGGTGATGGCAGATGACCCGAAGCCCAGTTCTGCAGTGCCAGCAATGGAGAGAATCAGCTGAAAAACTCGATGGTTTAGGAGAGAGGTCTTTTTCCTCAGGAGAAACGCCATTATCTGAATAGGTTAAAACACAGAGCAGTTTCCTCATAAATGCATCTTTAGGGCTCCTTCTCCTTTACCTGCTCATTCCTCCCAGTACCTTTGGTCAGCCCCATCTGAACCCCTCTGCTCTCTGGTGCTACCTCTTTCATTCCTATGTTCTCAGAAGAAAAACATACACCAGCTCTGTGGCCACTTCCCCACTGGGGTCCCCTTTTCTGTACTTGTATGACTTGAGCTTTCACTAGGGACCCCCTGCTCCTTCCTGAATCTCTTCCTCTGTTTCCAGAATGCCACTCTCTATCTGTCCTGGCTTCCTCCTGTTTCTGAGTGTTCTTTCTCATATCCCTTACTGGATCCTAGATTCATAACCATCCTATAAATGTTGCTGTATCACCAGGAAGCCACCAACTACTCAGAAACCCAGTGACACACAACATCACTCCAGGCTGCAAACCACCAGACATGCTATTCTACTGTGCGAGGTCCTGGGAAACTTGCAACACGCAGGCATCCATGCTAGGATGGAGGCACTGGGAACCCAGTGGTCCACAACCATTTCAGAGAATATAAGATGTATCCCTTCTAGGGCCGGCCGAGTGGCACGGTTGGTTAAGAGCTGGTTTGGGACACCAGCTCTGAGCAGCAGGGCCCTGATTCGGATCCCACATGAGAGCCAGTGACACGCCCTCTACAGCTAAAATGGTGAACAACAGCTCGACCTGGAGCTGGGCTGCCGTGAGTCGCCGGCAACGGCGTAGGCTTCAGCCCCTGCTGCAGTGGGCTGCCATAAGCTACCATGTATGGCCAGCAGCCAGTGTGAGTGGCCGGCAGCTGGTATGAGCTCCCAAGAGCTGCCATGAGCAGCCATCCAGAGGCCGGTGACCAGGAAGAGCTCAATGATAATACCAACATGGGCCAGTGAAGCAACGTCCTCCACAACTAGACTGAAGAACAAAAGGGCAGCAACTTGTCTGTTCCCATTCCCCTGATTCCCCAGTGCTGTTCCCCTCCCTCAATTCCCCAATAAAAAATAAAAAATAAATCTTAAAAAAAAAAAAGATGTATCCCTTCTGGCCTCATGTCTCTGTTGACCTCAGCCATACAAAAGTCAGAATGCACAGCCATCCATTGGCACCTGGGTTTTCATCCATCTCATCTGGGTTCTCAGCTCAGCTCACCCACAGCTCAGTTTCCCATGTCTGATCTGAAACAGTCCACCCCTTCTCCTCATCCTATCAGACATGTTCTTTCAATGCACCATTGGGAATTCAGGTTTGGTATTATAGACTGAATGTTTGCGTCCTCCCAAAACCTGTATGTTGAAACCCTACCCCACAATGTGATGGTATTTGGAGAGGGGGTCCTTTGGGATGTAGTTAGGATTAGATGAGGTCAGGAGAGTGGAACCCTCATGAATGGGATCAGTGTCTTTATAAGAGTCACAAGAGAGCTTGCCTCCTCTCTCTGCTCTCTGCCATGTGAGGATCCAATGAGAAGTTAGTAGGCTGTCTGCAATCTAGAACATGGCCCTCACCCAACCTGACCATGCTGGCACTCTGACCTTGAACTTCCCAGAACTGTGAGAAAATTACTTTTTACTCCCAGTTTTTATAAGCTCCCCAGTCTATGGTATTCTCTTACTGCAGTCCAAACTGACTAAGACCATTGTGATCAGCAAATATTCAATGATCTTTTCAGATTGTTCTGGTTAGTTCTTTGACATATCTGAAATCTGATGACTCCCTCCTCCCCCACCAGGACTTAATTAGGATGGCTGAAAGTTGCTTGAGAAAAAGCACACTCAGGCTGACTGCTTCCTCTTCACATTAATAGTGTCAAATGTCAAACTGGTACTCAGTTTGGCCTGGCAGTCCAACTCTGTTTCTCTAGTGAGCTGGTTTTCCTTGTCCTAAAGACAATGATGTCATCTCTTCTTCTCCCTCCCCCAGCCTTCCTTCCCTTCCACCATCCAACCTTGTACTCTGCTGAGAAGATAGAAACCATCAAACAAGAACATTCTCACCTTCCCAACACCATATAAATACACGCCTGCATTGCATTCCATCCTCTCTCAAGCAAGGTCACCACCCACCCGGTCTCTAGACGCCACCCCTCACCTTTTCAGGGGCACTGTTCCTTGAGCTAACTCTTCTCTCCAAGCTTCATCCATCTCTCTTTGTCACTTCCTTCCAACAACAAATATGCTCTAGTGATTCTCATCTTAAAAATACCCCTCCTTCATCTGAAGCGGCCATTGAATACTATTATATGTCAGCTATAATTTATAGTCACGGGATGTGGAGTACAGTGTGGGGAGTAGAGTCAATGGAATTGTAATAGATATGTATGATATCGGGGGAGAGGAGTTGTCACTTTGTGAGGGGTGAAAAGCATAACTATTGCATTATTTTGTACACCTGAGACTAATAATTTAAAAAGTACCCCTCTCTTGACCCCTAGCCCCTCTAGCTCTGACTCCATTTTGCTACTCCTCTTCATAAGCAAACTTCTAGAAGGCAGTATGGGCACACTCTGGCTCCAAGTCCTCACATCGTATTCTTCAGCCCTCCTCAGCTGGCTGCTGCCTCCACCTGTCCACCTGCCTTACAAAAGTCACCAGTGACTTCTAAGGGTCAAATCCAATGGAAACATCTCTGTCCTTACTTTACTTTATTATTTTTTATTTAGCATTGTTTGACCACACTGGCCTTCTCGAAACACTTTGTTCTTTCAGATTCTTTTACAAAATTTTCTTTAGTTTCTCTTCCCTCTTTCTTCTCAATCTCCTTTGTTAGGTTTTAATCATATTTCCAATCTCTATTTCTGCCTCTTTAGTCCTCTTCTCTATTCTGTCTATTCCTTCTCTTTGACTATTGTATCAATTCCCTTGGGTTAAACAGCCTCATGATGATATTGGTGACTCTCACATTTGTACCTCCAGTCCAGCTTGCCCCTCTGAGCTGGAGCCATCTGTCCCACTTGATAGCTCACCTTTGATGTCTCACAGACATTTCAGCCTTAGTAGATTCAAATCTCTTTCTTCCTTCCTCTCCACAGCGCTCTGCACACAGCACCAGCTGCACTCCTGTGCTGTCTGCCCAGACTGCTCGTAAGGATCCCAAGTCTCCCCAGGTCAGGAATGCAGTCTCCCGTCAGATTGGGCTCTATCGCAGTCTCCTGTTCAAATCTCACTCCTCCGACCCATCCTCCACACTGGCATCAAAGGTCATTCTAAAGCATCAAGCATTCCACTTCCCTGTTCCAAGCCTTCCTATGATTATGTACTCATCATTTCCAAGATAAAAATCCAGGCTCCTCAGAGTGGCAGATTTCTGATCCTTCCCTCCCTCTCTATCCAGGCTTGCTGTGCACTTATCCTTTCCTCCTAGCTGTGAAGAACCTGTACTGGACCCCTCAAGTGCTTTTATGTTAGTCTGGAACATTATCCTTCTTTTTTACCATGCTATGAAAATCCATCTTATGAAATTCGGCTGGATGTCACCAGGTCTGAGAAAGGATGATAAGTTTGATAGAAATAACAGATAGAAAGGTTTATGCTCTCATCATGCTGTCACATGCAATCAGCAAACCAGCAAATGAATACAAAATAAAAGTCTAAACAATTGATCGAATTCACTCCTGAGTAAGGTGTTTCATTGAAGACCCTTGTTATCACTCTCTGATTCATCCCACAAATCTTTACTAAACACCTACTGTCTAACATGTGCTCTTAGGGTGCAGCAATGAACAAGCAGACCAATACTGCCTTCATGGAGCATATGTGCAGTGGACAAAACAGACCACAAGCACGTATAGATCATGCCAATTGGGCATGCAGGTTATGAAGAAAAAGGAAGCAAGAAAATGTGCCTAGAAATGGATGAGGTAGGATGGGGGCTCTATTTTATAAAGGGCCAGAGAAGGTAAATAATAATTTTGTTTCTTTACTTAAAGCTGGCATTTCCCACCTCCCCTACCACTGCCCAGCTTCACCTGACTTTCCATGGAGACATGAATATTTTAAATGTTTCTTTTTTAAGCCATAAGAAGAGTTTTTAAATTTTCTTCTTCTGTTGCCATGTATAAAGATATAATAAATCCTCAAATCCGTTGGGTTCTTTTGACAAATTATTTGGGAATCTTTGTCTCATGATAATAATATTTTTCTGTCCATCCCATTAGACAGTGTTGTAAACTGAATGCTTATGTCCCCTCAAAAGTCATGTGTTGGAACCTAATCCCCACTATGACGGTATTAGGAGGGGGGCCTTTGGGAGGTGATTAGGTCATGAGCCTTTAGTGGGATTAGTGTCCTTACAAAGGAGGCCCCAGAGAGCTCCCTCACCTCTTCCACATCGTGAGGACACCACGAAAAGGCAGCAATCTACGAACCAGGAAGCTGGTTCTCGCCAGACACCTAATTTGCCAGCACATTGATCTTGGACTTCCTGGCCTACAGAACTGTTGGAAACAAATTTCTATTGCTTATAAGCTACAAGTCTATGGTGTTTTTGTTAGAGCAGCCCAAACTAAGAAAGACACTAAGTTCCATAGAGGAAGGGACTACATCCATTTTGTCCATCTGTATCCCTAATGCCTAGACAGTGTCTGGCTCTTGGGCAGTGCTCAGTCAATACAAGCTGAGGAAATAGATCCATGGGCATCTCTTCCTAAAAGCTCAGCCAACCCAGTCCTCTGATCCTCCTCCAATTGCCTTTCTTTTAACTGAAGCTTTTTGACGCCCCTATCCACATGTGATGTCGGACCCTTTGTAGGTCTGCAGCACATTATCTCTTTCAAGGCACTGTGTTCATGCGATGAGCAGTTGCTGAGAACTCACAATGTGCCAGGCCCTGCACTTGGCAGTGCGGAGACAGTGGGAAGTACAAGAGGGCCACGGCTCTCTACAGAATGCAGAGTTTCCGGGAAGATGGCTGAATAACCACCGAGTCAGAGTGTGGTAGTTCTGGAAGAGAGGTTTAGGCACTTACAGCATTCAATTTATACTCAAAGTATCTTGGTATTTATCTTATTTTGTCCTTCTTGATACATCCATGAGAGCAGGAGCTTCTTTGTACCTTTTTAGAAATGCTCACAATAATTGTTAAAATCCCCAACAGCAGATATCTAAGCACTGAATTCAGACAAATCCCACTACTGATGGCTTTAACAATAATAATAATAATAATAATAATAATAATAATAATAAACTTTTATATATCAAAATCCCCAATACTTTAATTTTAATATGAACCCAGACACACCCATTCACTTATTACTGAAATATTTACTGAGTGCCTGTTTGGTCTGAGTAATGCACTGGCAACAAATAAGAAACACCCAGTCATTTACACGATGACAGTCTACTGGAGATGAGCAGAGATCTTTACAGCGCCCTGTGAGAGGTTAGAACTGGGCATCTGCACAGTGCCACAGGAGGCCGAGATGGCCACATGCTCAGCCCAGGGGCTGAGGAGATAGCTCCCTCGCCATGTGAGCTTGACCCGGGGAGATAAGAAGGACCGTACCTGAGGAAGAGAGGAAGTTGGCACGTCAAGCCCAGGGCACAGGTAAACCAAGTCACAGTGTGTTTAGCTATCTATAACTGTGCAGGATGGAAGACAGGAGTGTAGGGTAGGGGATGTTGGCTGGGCAAGAGAGGGGACTGAAGGACAGCCTGGCGGCCAGTTCTGAAAGGCCTTTAGAAACGAATCTAAGGAGTCTGGGTTATTACATCAGTGGTTGGATGCCTCTGAAGCGCGTGTACAGGGGACGTGTATCATTAGGTCTGTATTGCAGAGCTGTGACTGGTGTCAGTGGGCTGCGAGGGAGTGGCAGGAGAAAGGGGCCACTATCCAGTTCTCCAGGTGAGAGAGGGCATGTCTGAAGTGACACCACACTGCTTTCTTCTGCTCACACCTTGACTTGGGCACCAAAGGGCTAGGAATGCTTTCTCCCAGCATTCCCTCCACCAGCAGGTACCACAGCAGCATTTGTGCCCCTGACCTTTGACCCAAGGCCTGACTCTGGTGATTCCTTTCACAGCCACCTCCAAGCCATGCAAGAAGGTGCCCCAGGGCAGTGACAGTCTCATCTGACTTAGTGGATAGTAAATAGCAGTAACAATCCCAGTGAACACAGACAGAGCAGACACTCTTCTAAGCACACAGCATATATGAGTATTAACTTGTTTAATCATCACACCCTACACCATAGGTGCATTATTCCCATTTTACACATGGGAGAACTGAGGCACAGAGATATTAAGGACTAAAGATGGCTAATATTTGCCGAGCCCTTCTCCTAGGCCAGATATAATTCTAAGGCCTCCACCTGTATTAAATCATCTTGTCCTCACTGCAACCCTATGATACAGGAGGCATGAGAGTTCCTATGATACTGATAGGGAAATGGAGACAGAGTAACTCATACAGGGTTAAACATCAAGTTAGAGGAAGAGGCAGGACTCATACTCAGTACTCTGGCTCCATGGCCTAGCCTCTCAGCCATCATGCTAGATATGGTGGGGGACCTCAAATGATTCTTGAATTCATCAGTAAAAGGTGCTGGGAGGCAGAGAGGTGCGCATCCCCAGACCCCATCCAGATCAGAGCCCTTCCTTGTTTGGCTGTCACCTGGTTCTCTGCTGTGGACTGTGTCCAGGGTCTCAGGATGCAAGGGCTTTAGACTTCCCTTCTCCAGAACTCACTGTGGAGGGAATGTGCACTGTGGCCAGAGAGGCTCCTCCCTGAGTCTCCAGACAACAGCCCCTTGGGGAGCTGCAGACTCAGATGGGAGAGTGGGATTACCTGGTACCCAAAGATTTGCTGCATCAGGCGGTCACACATGGCATTGCTGGTCAGGACCAAATGCAAGACTTTCACAGCTGCGTACATGGTGTGGTCATCCGTCGCCAATGAAATGAGGCCCAGGAGGATGGCAGGCCCGCCAATGAAGTCCAGGCTACTGGCAGCAGGGCTGGAGTGGAACACCCTTACCCCTGTGTGGAACCAAAGGTCATTTCATCACAGTAGTCACAGCCTCACTGCAATGAAAATCCCTGGCAGGATGCTGGGGCGAATGAGCTGCCAGAGCCATTCTCCTCTCACAGCAGAGAATCCTGTGCACGTAGGACAGGCTGGGGGGAAGTGTAGGGAGCTCTGAAAGTCTTAGGTCACTGAGAGAGCCTGTGCTGAGCCCTTTTTGAGTTACCAGCAGGCTGATACAGCCCAAGGGATTTCAGATCACCGCCCTCTGCCTCAGTCCAGAGTGCCGGGTGAGCCAGGTGCCTTAGGTGCCATCTGAGCCTCAGTCTGCTGACTGCTCTGACAACCTCTGGCTCTGGTCTGTTCTCTGGATCCTGCAGGGTTAGGTTCTTGCTTCACTCCTGCCCAATTGCAAGGTGACTGACAGTCACTGGCTACCGTTTTCACTCCAACAATCACAACCAGTGCCTCTGCACGAAGGCCCCACTCTGCTCACTAGATGGACACCATTGTGCATAGATGAACCTGATTAGTAGCTGAGTTCATTACCAATTGTCAGATGCAGCGAGGTGAACTGACCTCATGTACATTAGGAGGCCAACTCTCTTGCAGGGTTAATTTGCCAACTGTTGCCCTCACCTTCCTGGCTTCCCAACAAGCTCTGTCCTGCCTGCCACTCAGAATTATAACCTGCACAAATGGTGACAGCAACAAGCCCTTTTTCCCAAATAAAGGTTCATGGCCTGACTTACCTAAATGGCCCACAACCACAGCTCCAATGGTTCGAAGAGAACCTGAGAGATGCCCAGCACAATTTCTTAGCAGGAACACAGGCATGGCATTGTCACGGGATGAAATGTTCATCTAGAGAAATTGGTAACAATTAGTCCTAAGGAACTTTCCTGGAAAGGAAAAGGTCTTGTTCACAAGCTCCTGGAGGACAGGCTCCCTGAGGCCTGGCCCACGTCTGGCGCTCTGGGAGTGAATACTAATTGAACCAAAGTCAGGAGGACTGAAGCCAAAATTCAGATTTTCATGTACTGCCTCCCAGGTTGTGGCTTAATTCAAGGGAGCAGCTTCGGTTATTCAAATGTGCCCCTGGTGTTGTACATGCGCATAGTAAGGAGCTAACAAGGGCAAGAAAGACCGTAGGGCACTTGGAGGTGAAACTGCTATGAAGGCCAGGGTCACCTGCTTCCCAGGCTAGGGTTGTCTGTCCTCTTTAAGCCCCAGTCTCACTGCTTTCAGGAGGCGGAACAATGGGAATCCTGACCCCTCCATCAGAAGGAACTCTGCTGGTCAGACACTTCTTTGGTGCTCAGTAGGACTGAATCCCTGATCCCGCCTCCACAGCAAAGGGAGGTGGCCCTCTGTCTGTGAAGGTGGACAGAATATAAACACACCAGCCCAAATTTATCAGCAGTGAGCCAAAGAGCTGTTTACACAGGAATTAGAAAATAGTAAATCTAATGGCTTCTTCGCCTACAAACATGTCTGCTTGCTCTTTTGCAAATTTGTTGTTTAAAATAAAGACAGCAATTCGCAGAACACTGCAGTGTGTGTTCTGTGTGGGTGGGGGGCTGGGGGGTATCTTTTAACACCCAGAAAAGGGAAGCTCCATGATGTTCTCACTGTCACAAAGGCTTTAAATATTCCGTTTGTTCTTGCTCTACTGTGAAGAATGAAGAGCACCTACTTCCTTCTCTGAGCAATTACAAATAAAAGGTTTAGTCTTGAGGGAATTTTATAGATGGGGAGTCATAGAATATTTTAACAAATGAAGTGGGAAGCACTCCTATATATATATATATATCTGTCTATACATGCACAAACATGAATTAACATTCACTCAATCATTGAAAGCTGAAGTAAGCCATGAAATCAGGATTCCAAAAAGGGGTAGAAGTGAAGCTGGAGGGCGTACCTCTTTGGCAATCAGGCGGCTGTCCACCTCGTTGTACGTGCTTCTAATGTTCGCAGCACTGGTAATGGAGGAGCTGGCGAGGTGAAGGCCAAAAGCAACCCTTTCCTCTGCAACCAGGGACACTGCTTCTGCACCAGGCTCCTCTCCTAAAATAGCACATCTTCAATCATTTCCACTCTCACTTTACGAAGAAGGAAATTAATCCTCAAAAGAGTAAATATCTATAGCTACATGGCAAAGTCATCACTGAGAGCAGGCTTGTATCTCATTACATTTTAGGTTTGCATGCTGTTACATGTTACATTGTATGTTTATATGTTGTATGTTCATATATCTCATGTTTGCATTTACCTGTGCTTCTCTGACACATATAAAAAATTGTGGCGCAATCTCACAATATTAACCCAATATTAATTTCACAATATTAAAATAGAGGTATTCCAGGTGTGAAATTACTAAGCTTGAAACATCTATCAAGTCCCAAAACCAAAATGCTAAGTGATAAGAAAGCTGACTTATAAAAAAGGAAATAGGCTGAGCCTGAAGGACCCAAGACATTCACCGAGCCGGCGCGGGGACCACTTGGAATCCGTGTCCCGATCCCTGCGCCAAGAAGAGCCGCGTGTGTGACTCGCGAAGCGTGGGAAGAACGGAGAGACACTTTGGCTCTAGACCTGACTTCACATATAGCTCTGGCCCTTGCCATTTGCCAGAGGACATGCAGTTTGAGAAGGACACGGGGCCAGGAGACAAAAGCACTCCCCAGCGCTCAGTCACTCTTCACCACGTGCAAGACTTCTGTACGTAGATTCAGTTATTGTTCTTCCCAGATGGAAGCTGACCCCTTGGCTTGACAGAGCACAGAGAGCAGCGCTCCCTGCTTGAACAGCCAGCAATCAATAATGAAAATGTGGAGGTTTGTCTGCCTGTTTAATAATTGAAGACAACAGTATACTTCAGTTAAAAAGCTTCTTCATTAAAAGGACTGTAACTTATTTATCTCATTCTCTTCTCTTTCTTTGCTGATGGTATGACCCATCCACTCACCTCCATTATGCACTTTGGAGTTGAAATATGAAGGATATTGTCATTTCCTTTCTTGTGACATATTCTGTTGGGTTGTAAATATATAATGATCCAATTACAGAGGTCTTCCCTAAGGACTGACCCATGCTGAGTTGATTCTTTATAAACAAATGGATGTCTATTTTTAAAATAATATCAGCAAGATTACTATAAATCAAAACACTCCATACCTTGGGCATGCACAGCTTGGAAATTACCACAGTATCTTGGGCCAAGTTTGTTAATAACTTCCAGAGTTTCCATTGAGATGGCTTCTTCGAAGAGGTATGTAGGGCCAAGACGCCATATTAATGATGACTTTTGTTTCCAAATCCGAGGTGTAGCAATATATCCATAAACATCCACAAATGATGATGAGTCCATTGAGAGGAAAGGTCCTGGCAAGGCCTGAATATACAACATCTGTTAAAATGAAAAGGATGGGAGGTGGTGAACTTCAGAATTAATTAAATAAATACATATGGATATAAAATGATGTACCTTTTTCTTCTCTCAAAGTAAAATCTTATTTTATCTAAAAACATTAAAAACATCTCTCTCAAATCTGAGAAATAGTGCATCAAAACAGTTTATAAAATGCTGGTGGGAGTAAAAAAGTGACACTGCCTTTGGAAACAAATTTGAAAAGAAATATTGAGAGCCAATGTTTGTCCCAGATATCCCACTAAGAACCTAAAATGTACACTATTGGCACATTAATTTTTATGTACAAAAATAATTACAGACATACAGATTGGAAGGAAAGAAATAGAAATAAAACTGTATTTGCAAATGACATGTCCATGTAGAAAATTCCAAGGAATCTACACACACACACACACACACACACACACACACACACACACACTCACACTCCTAGAACTAGTAAGGTCACAGGATATATGATCAACTCGCAAAAATTAATTGCATTCTATAGACTAACAATGAACATGAGAAACTAAAATTAAAAACAATATCATTTACAATTGCTCAAACGAAAATGAAACAATAAAACATGTATAAGATCTGTAGACTGAAAATTCCAAAAGGATGATAAAAGAAATCAAAGAAGACTTATATAAATGAAGAAAACTACCATGTTCCTCAATAGTAAAGATATCATTTCTCAACATAGTTAAAGATGTCATTTCTCCCCAAAATGATCTATAGGTTTAATGTAATTCCTATCAAAATCTCAGACAGCTTTTTGTAGACAAGCAAACTAATTCTAAAACTTATATGGGAAGACACAGGTCATAAAATACCAGCTTACACAAATAGCTTAACAAATAGCTTAATTCTTTTTTTTTTTTTCAAAAAAGAAAAATTAAGTGGGAGGTGCCATTCTACTCAATATTAAGATGAATTCTATAGCTACAATAATTAAAAGAGTCTGGTATTATCAGGGGGATAGTCACATAGAGCAATGGAAGAAAACAGAGAATTGGGAAATAAACTCATATGAATATGCCCAACTGATTTTTGACAAAGGTTCAACAGCAATTCGATGGAGGAAGATAGTGTCTTTAACAAATGGTGCTAGAGCAAATGGACAGTCATAGGCAAAGAAGTAAACTTTGAGCTAAACTTCACACCTTCAACAAAGATTAACGCATGACTGATCACAAACTCATATCTGAAATTTAAAACTAGAAAAAAATTTAAGGCATAGGAGAAAATCTTCAGGATCTGGGACTAGGCAAATTCTTAGACTGAAAACCGAAAGCATTAGTCATAAGAGAAAAAAACTGATAAGTTATTCTTCATCAAAATAAAACTTTGGCTCTGCAAAATCCAATGTGAAAGAGAATTAAAAACAGCTATAAATTAGGAAAAATTATTTACAAATTATATATTTGACAAAGAACTAGTATCTAGTATATACAGAAAAACCCTTAAAACCTAATGGAAAAAAACAAACAATCCAATCAGAAAAGGGGCAAAGACTGAAGAAAATGGGCATCACTGAAGAAGATATAAAGGTGGCAAATAAGCACATGAGATGTTCTGTCTTGTTAGTCATTAAGGAAATGCAGATTGAAAACACTAGGTATCACTACACCTATCAGAAAGGCTAATTAAAAAATAGTGACAACACAAAATGAGAAGCTGAATCACTCACTCATTGCTGGTGGGAATATAAAATGATACAGTCACTCTGGAAAATAATTTGGAAGTTCCTAAACCTGTAACTATCATAGGACCCAGCAGCTGGACCCTTAGGCATTTATCTCAGAGAAATGAAGACTTAGGCTTACACACAAAAACCTGTACACAAATGTTCACAGCAGCTTTATTTACAATAGCCCCAAACCAGAAACAACCTAAATGTCCTTCAGTGGTTAGGTATCTATACCATGGAATACTACTCAGCAATAAAAAGAAATAAACTATTGACACATGCAACAATTTGGATGAATTTCTAGAGAATTATGCTGAATGAAAAAGCTAATCCTAAAAGGTCATATACTGTATGATTCCATAGATATAGCATCGAGAAATGACAAAAGTTTAGATTACTGGTTGTCAAGATTAGGGTTCAGAGATGGGTGAGGAGGTGTGGGTGGGAAGTGGCTATAGTCACAACTTTTATGAAAAGGCAACACAAGGGATACTTGTGATGGAAATAGTCTGTATTTTGGCAGTAGTCGTGGATGCAGGAAACTATGCATATGATAAAATTGTATGAAGCCAAATACACAAATACCAGTAAAACTGGGAAATTTAAATAAATTAGTAGATTATACCTATGTCAATATTTTAGTTGTGATATTGTTCTATAGTTTTGTAAGATGTCACCTTTGGGGAAAAATTTGGTAAAATTATACAAGATTACTCTCTCTTTTATTTTTTACAACTACATTTTAGCCTACAATTATCCCAACAAAAGTTTCAATAAAATAAAAATTTTTTTAAAATTTCAACTAAAAATAATTTTTATTAATTTATTATTGCCCGTGTGGACAATTTTTTAAATAATAGTATAAGTTAACTAAGTAGTATACAACATTTTCTGTACAATGAAGTCACAACTATTTTTTTAAGAGAAAAACCTGAAAGAAACTACAAACTACGGTAAGATGGAATGTGATCATCTTTCTACTTTTGCCTATTTTTCAGTTATTTCAAAATATGTTTATATTATTTTTATAAAGACTATAAAACCACTATATAAAATAACTCATATACATATTTATATGAATATAAACACATATTTTCTCAGAGCTCATATGATTTCAGAAATATTTTTTTCCTACCAATTAAATGAGATTTTCAAATAAAAACAATCAAGCTTTCAGACACCAGGCCTGCCTGGCTCATGGTCCACCGTGCTTACTCCCCTCCCCCATCCTCCCAGGCAGAGCCCTCTCTCTCTATCCCACACTGAAGCTCTGCCCCCCCCCCCCCCGCTCCAATCTAGCTTGCCCCTTTTCTTCCCAAATTCCCACCGTGTATTCTCACCACACCATTCAGATTAATTTATAAACTTAATGTGTGTCAAATTACTCTCACATCATTATGCTCAATTCGGACTGTTAAAATATTCCCCACCTTTCTAAATTTAACTTACCTTCCCTTGGAAATAAAAACAAATGCTTTGACATTTGAGAACAATCCTTAAGCTGGGTGATCCCCAACATAAGCTCTCCCATCTGGTCCTGACCCGGATGTCTGCATCTAAACACAGGCCTGTGTGTGTTTATCCCAGTTAAATTTCACTTACTGACCCTGAACCAACTTGTTGAGATCATCTTGGGAAGTCAATTCTGTCAACCTTGGCCCTTGGCCATTCTCCATGGCATATTTTGGCACATTTGGCATATCTCATGATGTCACACTACTCCCAACTTCCCTGCTGACTGACTAGTTTCTCTGGTTCTGTGAGATCGGAAGTTCATTCATGTACCAATTTACTCAACTATGCTATCATCCAGTCCATGTTACTCTTTGTGGCTGTAAATTCAATGAAATTCACCAAGTGTTTATTGCATGCTTACTGGGTGCGAGCCTCTGGCTAGGTGCAAGCGAGATCCAGATATCAATAGGACATGCCTCTTAGCCTCAAGGTGCATGAACTATTAATATTTCACAGAATACCAACCTATTCTGTGAAACAAGACAGAATAAAAACATATCTGTGAAAAATATTTTTTAAAAGCCCATCTGTAAGCATACCAGAACAGATAAAAACAAACACACTGAGACCACGAAGGTGACCATGCCTCCCATCCTGGCTAATGTAACTATTTCTTCTTCTCCAGTCCTCCTACTTCCTGGGCAGAAATTCTAAACATACACAGACACCAAAATGCCTCTCTTTCTGACAGCACTCAATTCAGAACAGACTGACTTTACTTCTTTGAACCCTCCCCAAAATCACCTAAAATAAGCCCAAAATCACCTAAAATAAGCCCAAATCCTATATAAGCCCCTCTTACCTCCTTGTTACCCCATGGAGTAAGGAGTCTCTTGCTACAGCAAGCTTAACAAATCTAACTTTTGTTTTGTACTACATCCATACTCCTGGAAGTATTTGGCTGGTGGGCATGAACAATTCCCAGCACCTAAAACAGCACCTACCACATAGTAGGTGCTCAATAAATATTTAATGAGGGAGGGAGGAAGGGAGAAAAGGGAAAGAGGGAGAAAGGATCTAGTATTGTTAATGACTGGAGAAAAAAGTTAACTTTATGTTTTAGAGGTCCTGTTTTTCTTATGCTCCTAACAAATCTTTTTGGTCACCAGTACCTCTTGTATGACAATTTTACCAAAAGATAACATCAAATTCATCTTTAGGTGTTCTAAAGAATTTAGGTTGTTCTAACCTAATGATTCTCAGTCTGGGTGATTTTGCCCCCCCAGGGCAAATTTGGAAATGTCTGGAGATAATTTTTGGTGGTCACAAATGGGGAGAGGGGAATGATATGTCACTTTGGTGGGTGAGGCACAGATATTGCTAAATGTCCTATTATACATGGAATAGGCCCCCACAACAAAATTATCCATCCCCAAATGTCAGTACTGTTGAAATTGACAAACCCTATTAACATAAGATTCTCCATTCTGGCTGCACATTAGAATCACCTGGGAAATTTCAACATCATTAACAAATTATCCCAACCACAGAGGTTCTCTATAATTGATGTGGGGTGCAGTGTGCAAGAAAACTTTAAAGACTTCCTAGGTGATTCTAGAATGCAGCCTAGGTTAAGATGCTCTTTCTGGAACCTGCCCTCTGTGGTCTTGGTCTTCTGGGCCCATCCCTCTCTGGCTTCTTCAGGGACCTCTGACAGTCGCTGCTGGAGCAGGTCCCTCATCTCCCAGCTTCTTCTCCCTTATACCTCATGACCTCAGGTGCCTTCTGTATGACAGTGATGAAATGCTTCCTCCAACTATGTCTTCTCAAGCCACTACCTTCTCTAAGCAGGGGACCATCCTTTCCTCACCAGTCTTGCTCTAAATCTGGCAAGGTGTGTTGGTGCCTTTGCAAGCTCCAGCATCTTGCTCTGAAGTGTAGCATACAGATCAGCTGCATTAGATGCACCAGGAAGCCTCTTAGAAAAGTGGAATCTTAGCCCCTCCCCTGACCCCATTCAGACCTACCTGGGGAATTCATATCTAAAAATGTGAGAAGTCCTGCTTTATTCACTCTGGAGATTTATATTTTCTTATGGCTATTCTTACAGTCATAAGTACCACGAGTATTCTTATTTCCATGTTTTACCTTCTGCCCTGGTTGTGTGACCTTTATTCCATTTTCTAAAGGTGCCCCTTTTATGCCTGAGCTCAGCCAAGTGTTCTGGACAGCAAGGGGATTTCATTGGATGTGAACCCCGCTGCTGCCAAAGTAAACAAAGAACTAAACTGAGGTCACCCAGGGTGTTGTGACTGGGAGGCATGGCCAAGGGGCAAGGGCAAATGGGAGAACCATCTCACCTTGGCTGAGCCAATGACCTGTCCATCCAGGTAGGTAGAAACAGTACAATTCTTTTTCATTTCCTTGGTGACAACCACAGCCAGGTGATGCCACTGACCACAAGCCAGTAGCTGGCCACACCTGACCCGAAGCTGGCGTCCCGCAGAAGGCTCAGAGTCATCCTCAGGTTCCATAACATCTGGGAGAGAGAACAAACACCAGACCTCGTGTGTGGCTTCATGCTGCAGCAACCCAGGAGAACAGGAACGGAGCCTTCGGCCAAGGAACCATGGCCATGCCCCCCTCATAAAGTAATAATAACAGCAGCTATCATTGCTGAGGTCTTGCTTTATGTCACACTGTTTTAAGGACTGTTATAAATATCAGTTCATTTCATTTTCATGACAACTGTGTGAGATAGGGGCTATCATAATTCCCATTTTACCATCCCGAAGCACAGGGAGATTATGTAACTTGCCCAGGGTCACGCAGCCAGGGTGCAAACCCAGGAGTCAGGCTCCAGGTTTAGCCCACACCAGACCTGCCACCACAGTGATGCACATTTTCTGGCAAGGTCCTGAGAGGGAGCAGGGACAGGGCAGTTGTGCTGTGTATCAAGGATGCCAAGCCATCCTCTGGGCCTTCTGGGTGCTTCACTACGACACTCGCAGGGCATGTGGGAGCAACAGGCGTGGCAAGGATATGCTGGGTGTGGCCATCTAAGGCCACTTCAGGCTATCACAGGTGGGTGAACCTAGACAGCCAGGCTGAGCTCTAAATAGCAGAGCCAGGACCAGCCTCAGCATACTAAAGAGGGTTGAACTCCAGGGCTCTTGTGCCAAGAGCTGCTAACTTAGCCCCATTTCCCCCAAGTGTGGACGAAACCAACTTTGGCTCCCAACACCTTACCCAGGGGCTGAAACTCTTTCTCTTCTGTAGACACAATCAAGGAGAGGTCTTCCAGGCAGAGGCTGACTGAGAAGCAGACAAAGGGCTGCTCGGTCCTGGCCAGGTGGCGTACCAGGGTTAGGAAGTGCAGCGGCTGGCCCTCGGTGACAGTGCTGTGTCTGCTGATCAGGAACCAGCAGGAGAAGGTCAGGCCCCCGGGGGGAGGGAAGGACCTGGCAGCACCTGGGGTCAGAACAGAGGCACACCCTTAGGCTTTAGCCGGCCATAGAAGCTTGTCTAGATTCACTGTCACTCTCCGTCTGGGTGGTCCTACTGTGTGCTGGCAATGTGCCTCGCCTGACTCATGCCCACATTACCTCAATCCCACCCAGCAGGGTGCTCTTGTCTCCTTATTCATTCTCTCAGGAATAAGTCATTTTCCCACCAGGACTTCAGCCTAGATCCTCAAAGCCTCTCTGCAATCCTGTCCCATGTATTATTCCATGCTGCCTTGCCAAGGGGACGGGGAGGGTGGCACAACCCTGAGAGCCATCATCATTTGGCTCACTGGTCACCTGATCTAAAGGTGGACAGTATGCTACGTGGGGCAGAGGGCACTGGCCTCTCCCAGCTGAAGCCTGCGTTGGGGAGGCTCCATTCTAGGGGAGCTCATGGCCTCCCACCTCGGGACAGGGTTGGCAGTACTGTTGGGGCCCGCTCTCCTCACTGAATGAGCAGAATCAACCTTGGTGCCCCCATGCTGATGGGCCATGAATGCAGTGGCTCCTGAGCACCCACCCTCCCACGAAAACCCAGATCCCAGTTCCCCTAACAGAGGGTGCCTGGCTCTCAGCTGAGCACATCACTGCAAAGCACACCAAGGCCCAGGTCGATCCCCACACAAGCCAAGGACAGGCTTGTTCCTGGATAGCCATCAACATGGAACTCCTATTCCTCTCTAAGGGTGAGTTGTCCATTTCAGCCTTTATCAGTCACTGACAAAATGAATCAAACTCAGGTTCAGCTGCCCAGTCACCCACTGAGCCCATCAGTGCTCACTGAGCCCTCTCTATATGCAGAGTTATGGCCTGGGCACTTGGGACACACAGTGAACAGCACACCCCTGCCCTGAGAGAGGCATGACAAACTGGAAGGATGACTCATCTACAGATACACAGGACCAAAAGGAAGACTCATGCTTTCTTGAAATGCTAAATGGAAATCTGAAATCAAGGCCCCCTAAGGACTTAGTCCCCAGGCAGAATGAGGAGAGCTCAGTGAGCTAACCCCCTGTAAAGCACCTACCTGCCCCAATTCCTCCGGAGACTGAGTACTCGGTGCTGGTTCCCATAACCGTAGACAGGGTCGGTATAAACAAACAGCTGGAAACAGGAAAGTGTCTCAGATCATTGACCTGCATGCCAGCCTCTGCTGTGACAGCTCCCCTCTGTCCCTCTGCAGGGGCCTCACTAGCTCTTAGACCATGAGGCCCCAAGGACAGAAAAGAGCTGATGCTGGTACCATGGCCCTAAGAGAAGGAATCCACCTGGAGGCTGGAGGAGGAAAGAACATTCTAGAATGCAGACATGCCAGGGGAAGGAAAGGGTCCTGGGCCCTACACAGCTGGGGATGCTGCCCCTAGAAAGCCACTGAGTAGATGCATGTCCGTGACCCAGACATAGTCTACTGCTGCGTGGTAAGAGCTGATGGGAACTACAATTTTGTAATCAATATTATAATTCATTTATAATCAGGCACTGGGAAATTCATAAAGCATATTTCAAATATACAAAAGCCTGTCATACCCATAACCTTCCACAGACATGTCAAATTCCACGAATGATGGAGCCAAGGCAGCCCTCTGAGGTTGCAGGTTGCGCGGGGAGGTCATGGAGATGAGGCTCAGTGCCATCTGAAGGGCAGTAGTGGAGCCCTGGAATGGCCCCGAGGGCCTGAGGGTCTGTGTGGCTGCTGAGCATGGGCTGGCATCCTGGGTGGCTCGCGCAGGATTCTCAACAGTCACTGGTACCCCTGCCTGTGACCCTAAGGCAGCAAGCAAGAGAAGAGATGCATCTTTGCTCAAAGCATTTACCCGCTTCTTCTGACAATAGCCCTGCCATTTCTGCCACAGCTGTTCGAAGGAGGGCTGTGCAGAGTCACCATACATTTCCTAACCACCAGAAGGATGGCTCTTCTCGGCCTGTCCATCAGGGCTCCCTGCTGGTTTTGATAACTCTGAACCATGGCACAACCTGCTCCTCCTAGAAATTTCTCCCTTTAATTCCATCATGTCCCGTCTTTCTGTTGCTGTCCTTGGCTTGCCCCACTGGCAGTCACTCTCTGAGGCTTTGGGCTGGCTCGCCAACCTCTGCACTCTCTTTCATAACAGGCTGTCTCCCTGAAAGCTCTTGTCTCCCACCTCTAGCTCCCAGCCCAAACTGGACTCTATTTTGCTTTCCAATTGCTTTGATGTCCTATGTGACCTTACATTCAGTACATCCATGGCTTCCTTTTCTCCAAGCTGGTTCCTTGGGCCAGCATCCTTCCAGGTACCATGCCTGACATTAGGAGACCCACCCAATGCTTTGACCTCCTGATCCCTAACTCTCCCCTGAGTTGTAAGCTTTACAGAAAGCTGCCCCTGGGCACCTCCATCCAAGTGCAGCTCCGGATAGTCCAGCTGTGTCATGACCCTATCACTGTTCCTGTGATCTGGGCCCAACGGGGTCAAGAATGTGCTCATCATCACCTGTCATATGGGATAAGGGCCGTCCTTTTCCTTTCAGATCTGGCCTCTCTCTGGGACTACCAATCCCTTGGCTTTTCCTCATTTGCTCCATTGAGCCTTCTTGAAATCTGTCTGCTTCCTGTCTGTTGTAAATGAGCCCTTATAAGGAATACACATTCCCTCTTAATTCCCCTTAAGCTGCCCATTTTTTCCTCTGTCCTCACCTGAGCATCCAGAGTCCCCTCCATGCACACGAGATGAATTGGGAATTCTCATTGCAGCCGACTGAGGCGGGGGAGTTCCAAGGCCTAAAAACTGTCTAAGTATCATAACATATAAGAGAACCAGATGAAGACATTTTGTGGGTAGAAGTTTTCTGCAGCTTCATGTGAATACTTTCCTAGATCTCAGTGCTCCCTGATTCTCCCTCCAAGCTTACCTCTCTCCGCCTAGACCCTTTCCTCAAGTCATGCACAAACAAGCCACCCCTCTCTTAGCTCCCAGATTAGAGAGCTCATGAGTTTTGGCTTTTTAGGTGCTTTTGACTTAACCAGTGACCAGCTAGAAGCCTCAAACTCTACCTTAAATGGAAAAGGAATGTGTTGGAAAATAACTTTGTCATACATTGTTTATAAGTTTCTAACGGAATTTACTTAGCAGCTGAATTAAGCAAGGTGGCCTTGTCTGGCAGCTTGCATGAACAGAGGGTGAACGAAGCTGGCCTGACCCCTGGGTCCCATGACTGTTGGTTGAAGGGGTTACCTTGCGTCCCCTCTACATTTGGTCCTGTGTGTCAGCAGTGGCCCAGCAGGCCCATGAACCCCCTGGGCACCGCCCTCCCTACACCATGACAGGGTGGGGTGGCCACCCTGCAGCCTTTCTTTCCTCTGCCTTTTTGTCTTCTGTGCCTGCTCTACCCTGTGGTTCTTCCCTCCCTGCTGCAGTTCTCCAGTAAACATATGGCTTCATGTAGGGGCTGCCATGAAGGCCCCCACAGATTACAATTGTGCTGCCTCTGAGCCCCTCCTTATCAGGAGTCCCAGCTGCTGGCCCTCACACCACCTAAGCTCCCTGCAGGCTAGCTGCTCAGGCACAGTCAGGCCCTCACAGCCGCACCACTCTCAGTAGAGCATCTTCCCCTTCCGGGCTCCCTCCTCTCCTGGGCTGGTGAATGGCTGCAAAGGCCTCAGGGCTCACCAGGCAGGCTGGCTTCCTTGAGACCCCTCCTCTTTACACCCAATCTCCCAACTGTGGTTCTCCCAGCTCTGAATAGCTCCAGCACTCTCCCCCGAGCATCCCCACAGAGCTGTTCTGGGTTGTTGCAGGACGCTTTGACTATTGTCCCCTCTCCCTGAGACCATCAGCTCATGGAAGGGCCTCTGCTTTGTGGGCTCACACACCACCCGAACAGTCCCATGGCTTCTCCCTGGATTTGCACTGTCCAATGCTGGGAAGGGCCACAGAGGAGCATGGGGACACCTGTTCCTGTGCACTCCTCCTGCCTACTGTGCATGCATGAGCACAGCTGTCATAGGCTCAGCAGTGTTTTATGTGCAGCACGTGGTACCTTAACACATCTGGTTCAATGGCTTGAGAAGCAAGCTTTTCAAAAATCCTGATGAGGCCCGAGTGCAGGGGGCTGCTGCTGGTAGTCAAGATGTGGTGGCAGGAGGTCATGAGGGTCCTGAGCATCCCTGCCTCACACATGACCTGACGGTTCTTCTCTGATTTCACCAGGGACTGGATGTGACTGGCCATGGAACACTGGATCTCCTGGGAAAGCTAAAAGGTAACCAGAGGCAACCATGAGTCCCTGAGAGCAAAATATTTTGTGGGGAATTTTGATAGGCTCCCCACCAGGCCTCAAGTTGGTTGTGGAGAAAGAAGGCTGAGCCCACCACAGCCTGCACTCTAGTCTGTCTCCAGGATCCTCAGACAATGCCCTCCTCACACACAGGGTCATGCCCTGGAGGCCAGTCTACAAGAGAACATGCGCTGCTGGAATCAGCTGCCGAAGAGGCAGACAGCTTAAATCAGAGACTGCACACTGGCAGGCATGACCCACATCTGCCCCAGAGATGGGTGGTATTTGACCCACACAACATTTAAGTAGTTTCTCAATTAATTGCTAAAATGTAAAAGCCTAAAGATTTTGTATAAAAGTGCAGACATGTGGCTTCTCTCAAAAGAAGGAAAGATCTGGTCAGGAAGATTTGCAATCCTGTACCTGTTGAGAAGCAGTTGGAGTTGGGTAGTGGCTGTGCCCTTTAGTGGGTCCCACATCTCCCCTCCCACCCCACAGCTGACTCATTTAACAGTCTTGCCTTTGAGTTTGTACCCCTGACATAGAAGGTGGACTTCACCTGGAAGTACAAGATTCAGGAAGTAACCCACACACACCACTGGCTGTGGAATATGCAGCCCTCTTTGCCATCACGTACTTAACCACACCCAGAGAGGAGCACAGCTCCTGTGGAAGCCATCGTTGACATCTCCCCATCACCCACCAGGTGTCATCTCCTCCCCACCACCCTCCAATTGTCCTTTGTCCAGCTCTCTGTTTTAAGTACATTTTGACACACAGACAGGTGTGCTCTTAGCCTATGAGATTTCAAGTCACCGCTCAATCTTTAGGTCCTGGAAGTGAGTGCATAAAGTCAGTTCAGTAAATATTTGAGCCAAATATAAGATTGTCTTGATTGTCTTGACAATCTTCCTTTCTTCATAAACAGATAAACTTCTGTAATTTCCAACAGTCCCTAGATATATAAATGGGAGGGGGGGGTGAAATTTTCTTCTTAAAAATCTCTTTTACTGTTATATAAGATATTATCTGAAGTGAGAGGATACCAATTAGATCTTAATGGGATTTTTCTGCAGTGGATGCTACGGTGGTCCCACCCAGACCTCCGTTCTGGGTGCTCCTTCTCTGGAGGACTGCCCTCCTTTAAGTGGGAGCTGCCCTGCCTGGACAAAGAGTTAACCAAGTTTACTATTTGGAAGTGCTGAAAAGGTTGCATGAAAAAGTTAGATGACCTGAACTTTTCACCAACAATTCATGGTTCTTGCATCATGACAATGCACCAGCTCACATGGCAATGTCTGTGAGGGAGTTTTCAGCCAGTAAACAAATAACTGTATTGGAACATCTTCCCTACTCACCTGATCTGGCCATCAGTGACTTCTTTCTTTACCCAAAGATAAATATTGAAAGGAAGACATTGTGATGACATTCAGGACATCAAGTGTAATACGATAGCTCTGATGGCCATTCCAGAAAAAGAGTTCCAAAATTGTTTTGAAGGGTGGACTAGGTGCTGGCATCGGTGCATAGCTTCCCAAGGGGAATACTTTGAAGGTGACCATAGTGAAATTCAGCAATGAGGTATGGAGCACTTTTTCTAGGAGTTCGTGAACTTAATTGTCCGATCTCGTATATTTATGCATGCATGCACACACATATATAAATTGTGTGTGCATACATAAACACATGTGCACATGCATATGTGTATGTACATACACATATATAAGCATAGACATGCAAACATACCACATAAATAAACAGATAAATATATATGTATGTGAGCACACACACACACACACACACACCAAACTGTAGCCTGTGAGGTCATGTCCTTTAGTCTCTGTGGTACAATTCTTGCCCCAGTAACCCAAGGGGCTCAGGCTGAAGCTAGACTTCAGCTCACAGCTCATGCCCACTCAGCTCCTTCGCCTGCCCCATCCCGCTTATCACTCCCTTCCCTACATCCTCCCATCAATAAGCCCCCATCACCTGTACTCCTGTCTTGGGCTCCACGTCCAGGGAACCAAACCTGAGGCACTAGCATGCTTTTTTACACTGCAAATCTTTGCCCTAGCTTGTGGTTTTAAACAAAGAGATCTATGACAGTGTAGATGCATCTAGGTTGGTGCACCATGTAAAGCCAGGAGTAACCACAAAGCGCTTATTGAATAATCTTTATCTAATGAGGACAGGCTTCTGGTCCCACCAAGTCTCAAGCCACTTCACCCACACGTGTCCCCCATGAAGGCTTTCTTGGAGTCCTTCCCTGCTTCCCTGTCTTCCTCTTCTCCAGCAAAGAAGTATTAACTGACTCTTCAGTGTCATGTCTGGGGAAAGTTCTAGGCATTTCAAAGTGAATATGTCCCTGCTCTCAAGGGAATCACAGACTAAAGGTGAAACAGGTGAAGAGAATCTCAGCCCAGTGGGAGAAGTATTCTAGCAGAGAATTTACACAGTCCAGGAAGGGAGGAGTTCCCCACAGCCCCTCACACATTTCATGGAGCTCTTGGAGTTAGAAGAGAGTCCAGGCCTGGCACCTACTTTGGGGACCAAATTTTACCCTGTGATGGGAATATTTTCTGGGTGTTCAGGATGTGCCAGGCCCTAGTCAAAGCATGTTTACATGTATAGATCATGCAATTCCTATGAGGAAACCTATGAGGGAGGTACTACTATTATCCCCATTTTACAGCTGAGAAAACTGAGCCCAGAGAAGTCACTTATCCAGGCCACATAGTTAGGGCAAAACCTCACTCCACCATCTCCTCCCCACAATTGCAGTTATTTAGGGGGCTCTGCCCAGAGATGGTCAAGAGAATGTATCACTAAAGTACAGAAATTAGTAAGATGGCATTCTACCACAGGCCACGAACACAGTTTTTTAGCATATATGTTTCAAGGATTAAATTGTATGGTGAAACATACTTACACTATTGATCATCAGTTTCTAAATTGTTTTTAAAAAATGAATGGGTTATACAGCTCACCCTCCTGTCTTCCAACCTTCCTCCCAGAAGTATGGTGCCTATAGCTCCTGACTGAAACTGGTGGCATTCAGTAAAATTCCCATCTTTGGGCTGGCCGAGTGGCTCAGTTGGTTAAGAGCTCACTCAAGAATTTGAGCTCTGAGAAACAGCGGTTCGAGTCCCAGCCCAAGCTGAGCAGCCGCTGAGCTGCCAACAGGTGGCAGGATGGCTCAGCTAAAAAAAAAAATTCCCATCTTTATAAAACCTTCAGTAACATTTCAGATTTAAAATTTTAGACTATTCAATTTTAGTTTTAAGTTTAACTACCTACATTAGAATGGACCTCCTCCAAGGAGGATTTTGCCATTCTGAAATGTCATTGTTTTACCAACATCACTGATGTCAATGAGAGATCTAATCACTCAAAGATGATAGTCCCTGCAAAGGACTGAATGTTTGTGTTCCCCCAACATTCATATGCTGAAACCTAATCCCTAATGCGATGGTATTTAAAGGTGGGGCTTTTGGGAGGTGATTAGATCATGAATGTGGAGACCCAAAAGTGGAATCATTGCCCTTCTAAAAAAAAACCCCAGAGAGCTCCCTCCAAGACGGCCATCAATATCTCACCAGACACCAGTTCTGCCAGCACCATGATCTTGGACTTCCCAGCCTGCAGAACTGCGATAAATAAATGTGTGCTACTGATAAGCCACCCACTCCATGGTATCTTATTATAGCAGCTGGAATGGAATGGAGATGACCCCCTTCCCTGTCCCTGTGATGTCTGCACAGCCAGCCTGAGCTGGTAGAGGCATATGTGTAGCCAACAGCAACCAGGAACAGAAGGTAGAAATGCCAAGACTCATTTGCAATAAGCAGTTCCATCACTTTTATTTTGAAGAACACTTCCATGTGGAAGTGTACCCAATATCCTTAACTGTCCTCAGATCTTTCTTCTGATGCTAAAAGCAGCCCTTCCTGCATCCTGCAAAGCCTGCTCCTCTGCCTTTCTTCTCCATTCTTCTCACAACAGAAAAGGAGCTCCCACCCTCTTGCCTCAAACTTTCCCTCTCCCAGAACTTGGATTTGGGTAACTGCATCTTTTAATTTGGGGGGAGAGTTGGGGAGTCTTCAGGGGGAGGGTTGGAAAGTTGTATGAAACAAGATGCAAAAATCACATCACAATGTATTATGAATAAGAATTTTTTTAAAAAGTCTACAAGTTCCACTTTGTATACTAGCACTTCACTTACTGCTTTGGGGACTTTTGGTTTTCTTTTTCGTTTGTTTGTTTTTTGCTTCCCCCCTCCCCCACCGGAGCAGACATACTTAAAATCTAAATACACAAACAAGAGAAAAGAAAGAAAGCAAAAAGTTTTCAAAAGGGAGAAATGCTGATCTTGACCAATGATGCCACAAATTTACTCCAAAACTGCTCAATGCCCCATAATGGAGGAGGGAAAATTGATCGTCCTCATTATCACTGCAGCTCTGTCAATACCAATATTGCCTTGTTTTGAATAAAATGTGCTGGTTTTTTTCAATGTTGGTTCCAGTAAAATGGGGTTTTAGTGAAAATATGAGCATTAGCAGGAAACCAGTCTGGTTCTCCCCCTACAAATGGATTGATTTTCCTAACGCATATTACTTCCAATGCAGGAAAGGGGATGATGGTTCAATTAAGCTCAGTGGTGAGCTTTCAGGATCACCAGGCTGGACCCCTAAGGCAAATTATCACAGAGCAGTTTGTGGGGTGGCCTTAAGGAGTTTTCTGCTTTCTCCGCTTAACAGTTGTGCCTTCATATCCATCCTTGTGTCCAGCTGTGGATGTTTATTCTTCTTCCTCTCTCTCTCCCCATTTTCCCTCCTGGTTCAGATTAATATGGCCCCAGAGCCCAATGAGGGCTGGGTCCTGGTGGGGGGGGGTCCTTTCAAAAAGGCATGGGCCTTGGGTACATCAGTTCACGTTGTGTCTTCTGGACATTAACCACAGTGCCCTGACATAGACA